CTCGCCCCGCTCCAAGGCCTGCTGCTGGAAAGTTAGAACGTCTTACTGCCAAGCTCCAGGAGATGGATGAGCAGCTGTTGACAGTGCAGACCATTGCGGAGAACATAGAGCAGGACTTCCCTGCACCAGAAGTGCTGAATCGACACTGGGAAAAGGTATCTGTTCTTATTTTCTAGTGCTTTGGGGGGGGTGTGTGTGTGTGTGCGTGTGTGCTCGTGCATGTGCAAGTCATTAAATATTTGGTATCATTAATATGATATAATTTTAGATATCTGACTTTATTAAATAATGGGGGGGAATTTAAGCTAGAATTTTTTTAAACTTGGTGGTTTTTGACAGGCTACATTAGCAGTTCTCAACCTGTGGGTCATGACCTTTTGGGATCAAATGACCCTTTCACAGGGTTCTCCTAAGACCATTGGAAAACACAGATATTTACATTATGATTCATAACAGTAGCAAAATTAGTTATGAAGTAGCAACGAAAATAATGTTATGGTCGGGGGACAGCACAACACAAAGAACTGTACTAAAGGTGGCAGATTAGGAAGGTTGAGAACACCGAGCTACATGATTACTTGTTTTTCTGTCTTCTGTGGTTCTGGGGTCATTCACATAACTAGGCAAGTGCTCCCCAGTGAGCCGCACTCCCTCCTGGCTCCAGGTAGATCTCTGTCTTCCCATCTCACTAGGTGCCCATAGCAAACCCAGGTAATAACAATCAGCCAGAGTTTCCCTGACCTTGTCAGAAGACACTCAGATCGCCCCCAGCTGAGAACAGCTGCCATAGCTTTTAAGTAGGGAGCCCATGCTTCCTTCAGGAAAGAAATGTGTGAGCTGCTAACCAGAGTGTGATTTGAAAACACTGTTCAATGTCATTCTCCTCTCAAAGATTTTTCTTTTCTTTTTTCTTTTTTTGTTTTGTTTTTCAAGACAGGGTTTCTTTCATACAGTCCTGGTTGTCCTGGAACGTGTTTTGTAGACAGGACTGGCATTGAACTCAGAGATCTGCATGCCTCTGCCTCCTGAGTGCTGGGATTAAATGTGTGCATCACCACCTCCCAGCTTATGTGGTAGTCGTTTTATGGTTTTGTTTTATTTTTTAAACCACAAACTTGGATATGGCCAAATGAATCTTGAGCATCAGAAGTCCTTGATGGCCTTTTCTTCAAAGACCCTCTTTTGAAATTGTCTTCTGAACTAGTAGTAAAAGCATATTTAAATCCAGACACATATATGTGTATATGCACACACATGTATATTACATATATATTCTTAAGTAAGCTTATAAAGTGTTTCCCTAGGACTTTTTCAAATATCCATAATGTCATCTCCCCTTCCTCATTCCCCACATATATTACCCTTCCTCCTTCATCTCCAGTTTCCAACACTTTGATTTGCTAAGTTTAACAAACCAGTTTGCAGACCTAGAGAGACAGGGGACTCCCAGGACACCGTGAACAAGTACTAACTTGGAAGCTTAAGAGCTTGAGTTGAAATCCATGGCCTGTCATTGTGGAAATCGCTCACCCCTGGGCCTTGTTTCCTCGTCGGGATGTAGAAGGCTGTCATGATGGTAGCTAACTTTCTCCCCCATGCAGGACCATGTGAAGTCATTCCCAGCCCTTGCTACAGATAGTACAAACTTCCTCTTCATGACCCCTGACAATTAGTCACCCTAGATTTTATCCTGTTTCTCTCATTTTGTTGTAGTATTTTAAATGCTTGAGATATACATAAAATTATGATATTTGGACATTTTCAAAAGGTATAACATTTACAGCAGCTCTTTTGCTGTGTTTGTTTTCTTCTATAGGCTGGACTGGTAGATCACGTTGAATTGTCTTCTGGCCCTGAAGTTGAAAAACCGTTAGCTTTAAAAGCCACTAGCATTTCTGAAGAAGGTTTGTGTTGGGAACCTGGGCTGGTACCGAGGCCTGGCTTCAAAAAAGCACTAGAAATACTTTTTTCATGTGAGCTGAAGCCAGTCCTCCCTGCCCCATTCCCAGTCTTTTATTTTTTATTTTTATGTTACGTTATATGGGTATTTTCCTACATGTATATTTATGTACCACATGTGTGCATCTTGTATCTGTTTCTTCAAAGATTCTACCCCCTTTCCATCATTAGTTCTTTCCAAGTCTGTGAGTGATACATTATCCTTGTCTTTGAAAACAGCTTAGCTTTGCTGTGATTTTTAGGTCATAGTATATAGCTGACTGCAGACTTCTCATGTTTTCTCTAATTCTAGAGTTTCCCTGGTCATTTGGTAGACATTATCCCAGTGTTTGTTGAGCATACACTGCCTATGTGCTGTTAGTCTAATTGCTGTCTTAATATCTCTGGTTGCTTTAAAATTTACTTTTTACTCATTTTTCTTTTTTGACACAATGTCTAGGTATGAATTGCTATCTTACACCTAAGTAGATTGATTCTCCAGTTCAAAGGGTTAACGTCGGGAAGTCTGAGTGGCATCCATCACCCTTTTTTCTCCCTCTGTTCTAAAAATGCCTGTTAAGTCTGTTTGGACCTTGTCAATTTAATGTTTTAAACTTACATGTTTGTTTGTTTGCTTGGCGGGGGGTGGGGGTGCATGCCTGTAAGGCACAGGACAACTTGAGAGAATTGGTTCTCTCCTACTTCGTGAGTCCTGTAGGTCAAACTGAGGTGGTCAGCCTTGGCAGCAAAAATAGTATCTGCTGCACCTCCTCTCTCCAGTCCCAGTTGTCTCTTTCGTGTGTGTGTGTGTGTGTGTGTGTGTGTGTGTGTGTGTGTGTGTGTGTGTGTGTGATGTTTCATGATTTCTTCATCTTTAGGACTCAGGGATGTATTCACTAGTATTCCTTTAAATCTGTCTTCTAAAATCTGCTTCCTGTGATTTCTTGTTCCGCCTACTCACTGTTATTCTAGTTTTGATGACTATTTTCAATATCTAAAACTGTTTTCAAATCTGACTGTTCTGTGGCTTCCTATTTTCTTTCACTGTACTGTAGACAGCTTTCAGAATGTTCTGTAGGCATCTCATGTGAGTGTGTCATGTGGAATGTACTGTAGGTATCTCATACGTGTGTCATGTGGAATGTACTATAGGCATCTTATGTGAGTGTGTCATGTGGAAGCAGCAACTTTCCCTTCGTGTTTTTTCTTAATTGTATGCATGCCTTGGATTAGTGTCTTTCCAGACTCATGGGGACGTGGAAGATCAAAATGATACAGAGAAAACTTCAGAGACAGAATTTTCAGTAACAGAAAATCACCCTAGCCAGAAAACCTACGTATGCCCTTCTGCGGGGTCAGCCGTCTGCTCTTCCATGGACTGGAGTATCACTTCTCCTGGTACTGCTCTTCACTCCTTAGGTTTACATGCTCTTGTGTGGATTAGTGTTACTGATACCTGGGAGGGGTACAGCTGTGAAGGTGTGTGAAATAAATACACTTCAACCACGTATCACACCCCTATAACATTTTAGCATTAAATCTATAGTAATTAGAATTATATGTGATTTTTATAAAAATTGAGAAATTCAAAGTGCTAATTACTAGAATTTTACATTTTAATCTGTAACAGTACTATTGGTTATTTGTTGAGCCCCTGCTGCGTACATTGCTATATTTCATGCATGGGCCCATTTTAAGGTTGACTGAGGTAGAACTTCATTATTCTTATTCTAGAGTCGAGACTGAGGTTTAGAAAGGGTTAGTGCCGCTGTTTGTTTGATTTCATTTGGAGACACGTTGTCATTACAAGTGCTGTTCTTGGGTCCTGAAGGGACATTGAGTCATATGAACGACAGGCACAACATTTCTTGTGTAACCCATGTAAACATGGATAAAATGAAATGTTTTCCTCTAGTATTTAATGTATGTTTTGTATGCTTGAAAGAAATTCTATTTTTTTTTTTTAAATAAGAATTTTGATGCCGTAAGTAGGAATCTCCTTCCAGGCTGGCTTCTTGGAAAGGTATAGTGCCATTACCTCAGTTTTGCAGTCAGAATAACTTAGAGTTTTCTCCTCTACAACTTCCATTTCTTTTAAAAAATGTTACTGGCAAATAACTGATTGAGGTTAGATTTTAATTTTGGACACAGCCATAGGCCTCCCAGAAGCTTATGTGCAGGTATGCTGGCTTGTCCAGGAAGATGCCAAGCCGGGTGTGACTGTTTCACATTGCGAATGGAGAATTATACCGACTAACTCTGCTGAATTACCTCTGAAGGCGTTCCAAAGGAAGAGTTCCAAAAGTGGGATCAGAGTAACAACTTCAAGTGTTCTTTATGGGGCTGGAGAGATATGACTGAGCAGTTAAGAGCACTGGCTGTTCTTCTAGAGGACCTGGGTTCAATTCCCAGCACCCACATGGCAGCTCACAACTGTAACTCCAGTTCCAGGGGATTCGGAACCCTCACACAGACATACATGCAGGCATTTCTGAATCTCTGATTAATAATGGAAGTTTGAAAACAATTGACCAGCTGGGTGCACACCTTTAACCCCAGCACTCACGAGTTCGAGGCAGGTGGATCTCTGTAAGTTTGAGGCCAACCTGGTCTATAGAGTGAGATCCAGGACAGCTATGACTGTTACAAAGAAACCCTGTCTCAAAAACCCAAAATTAAAAATAAAAAAGAATTTACCATGGGGCTGGGGAAATGGCTCAGTTGGTGTAAGGCTTGCTGTGCAGGTATCTAGTTTGGGTCTGTGGTAGCCACATAAAAAGCTGGGCTCAGCTGTGCTGGAGACAGAGATGAGAGGGTCCCTGGGGCTTGCTCGTTCTCTGAAGTCCAGTCAGCCAGCTTCAGTGTGAGACCTTGTCTCTAAAAGGAAGGTGGGGAGTAACAGAAGGTACTTGGTGTCAACCTCTACACCTGCACACACATAGGAACACACACAAAAATCCTGACCTAAAAGTTTAAAATATTTTTTACTGAACAACTTTTCATGCAGTATATTCTGATCATTGAACTAAATCTTTTCATTAACAATGTTTGTTTTTTTTAAGGTGTGAATATCAGCAATGAATTTGAAAGGTAAATCTTTAAAGAGTTCATGATTTTAAATTTGTGTGTTAAAATGTATATGTTAATATGTGTTATGGAAATTTTACTGCTCCTATGAATGTGAACTTTTATATTACACTTTTTTTTTTTCAAGACAGAATTTTTCTGTGTAGCCTTGGCTGTTCTGGAACTCACTCTGTAGACCAGGCTGGTCTTGAATTTACAGAGTTCCACATATCTCTGCCTTCTTAGTGCTGGGATTAAAGGCATGTGCCAGCACCGCCTGGCTATATTACACTTTTTGTAGTTTAAAGAAATCTTACAAATTTCCATTGCCAATGAGTATTTTAGGAAACTGGGGAGTGTTATGTTATATATATTTGGTGTTTTAGAATTATGTAATTAGAATGTAATAGACTGTATTGGCTGCATTCTCTTACATTATGAGTTAAGCTATAGCAGTTAAGACCTATAGCTCCTTGTAATGAAACACAGCCATACCATGTGCCTCTGTATGAGCATAGCATTTCTATTGCCAAAACACGGGATGATTTTGACCATGAGCAGAATGGAGGCATGCCAAAGAATATTTTATAAAATGACCAGCTAAGATTTCTCAAAAGCATCAAGGTCATGAAAAATACCAAGATAGAAATTGCTTTAGGTCAGAGAAGACAGATGTCATGACAACTAAGTATACAAGTGGATTCTGGGCAGGAAACAGACACTAGTGAACAATTAGGGAAGTGTGATACAGTCTGTAAATTAGTTAGCAATAGGTCAGTTCTCCAAGTTTGATATAAGACGAAGATTATGTCAGAAGATCACATTTGAGAAAACCGAGGAAGGGTATGTTGGAGTTTTACTACTTAAAAATTTTTTAATTTTAAGTGTTTTGCCTGCATGTGTGCCAGGTGCCCAAATAAGGCATCAGATCTGTGAAATTGGAGTTACAGATAGTTGTGAACCATCATGTGGATGCTGGGACTTGAACCCAGGTCCTCTAGAACAGCAGCCAGTGCTCTTAACTGCTGAGGCATCTTTCCAACCCAAGTTTTGTTTTGATATGTGTCTGTGGGTGTGTGCGATGCCCACTGAGGCAGAGGCATTGGATCCCTGGGCACTGCTGTTGTTACTGTGAGCCACTTGATATTTGGATCAGTGAGTGCCCTTAACCACTGACCCATCTCTCCAGCTCATTTTGCTGCTTTCTTAAAGCCTGGAACTATTTCAGATGAACTGTTAAAAATTTTTTTGCCTTTGCTTAGAGCTCGGTTTCTGAGAGCGTCTATGATGTCATTGATAACTAGGCTTTTCTGCTGGATGATCCCAGAATTTAGAAATAGAAGACTAGGTGTCTCTTATTTATGTTCTAAAAAAGTGTTACTCATTTCTGCTTAATGTGATTAAGTCATAGATACAAACTTATATTCCTGAAATTTTATTTGCAAGTGTTTCAGAAGATCAGCTCCAGGTGACTGGATTGACTGATATTGCTGACATCATTGATGATCTTATAACTAAGAGTGGAGTTTCCAGTAAAGAGCTTGGCTTGACAGAAAAACAAGCTAGAAGCATATCCAGGTAATCACTGAAAATATGTGCATGCTAGGCATGGGACCTTGTGTGCGTTTGAAACAAGATCTCAGGGCCTTGCTGGTACTAAGTACACCCTCTACCATTGAATTACATCCAGGCTCAGAAGAATCTAACCCATTTAAAATAATGCAGGCTCAAGAGTATTTAAAATTTGCCAGATTTGAAGCTCAGAATAGATGCTTTCCTCATAAATGCTTGTGTGTATTCGTCACTCTTCTTCTCTGACAGCATGCTCCCTGTTATAGTTAGCTCAGTGCGTCTGTGTTCTGGGAGCTTCCCTGGGACTCACTGTGGTAGACATGTCTGAGTTCTGTGTCCTAACAGAAGGCATTGATGGTTAAGTCATGGTACTCTATCCTAACTGCTAACCTCAGAAGTACAATAGCACTTCTGTGGAACATTGAAGTGTGTTTCCTCTCAGTCTTTCGTACATGCAATCAAGGCTGACTATCCCATTCGTGTTCCCCTTAACTATATATATACACATCTAGGCAAGCCTGTCAGGCATGGTGGCATATAATACCAGAGAGGTGGAGACAGGAGGATGTCAAGTTTGAGGCCAGTCTGGGCTACAGAGAGAGACTGTCACAAAGTAGAGTTCAACTGAATTTCCTAGTTCAATCAAATTCCATTATTAACTTATTAAAAATGTAATGCATTATAATCAAACTTAAAAAGGTGGTTCCAGAAAATAGAGCACAAAAGAGACTTTAAATTTTGACAATGATGTGTGTGGATGTGTGTCAGGGTAGGGCATGTGCACATGTGTGTGTGGGTGCCCAAGGAGGCCAGAGGCTTCGGGTCCCCGGAACTAGAGTTACAGGTGGTTGTGAGCCACCCAGCCCGGTGCTCCAAGCCAAACTTGCGTCCTCTGCGTGCACAGTATGTGCTCTCAAACTCGGAGCCATTTCCCCAGCCCCTGTGGGGTGGTTTGAGAGAAAATGACCCCCAAGGGATGGCACTGTTAGGAGGTGTGGCCTTGTTGGAGGAAGTGTGTCACTCTGGGGGTGGACTTTGAGGTCTCCTATGCTCAAGCTTCCCCTCGTGTCACAGTCCACTTCCTGTTGCCTTCTGATCAAGATGTAGCCAGCACTGTGTCTGCCTGCTCGCTGCCATGCTCCCCTCCATGATGATAAGGGACTGAACCTCTGAACTGTAAGCAGGCCACCCAGTCAAGTGTTTTCCTTGTAAGAGTTGCTGTGGTCATGGTGTCTCTTCACAGCAATAGAAACCTTAACTAAGACACCCTGCAAAGACTTACTCAGTAGAATTTATATATATATATATATATATATATAGTGTATATATATATATATAGTGTGTATATATATATATAATGTGTGTATATGTATATGTGTATATATGTGTATATATACACATATGTATATATATGTGTTATTTATTATATATGTGATATATATGTGTGTATATATATGTGTGTATATATATATATATATATATATATATATAAAAAACCTTTTAAGAGAATAAACCCCAACTTACTTAATTGCCTTCAGTTGTCCTTTTATCCCCTGAACTTAATGAGTATGTTATAAACATCTCATCAGTGGTCTATTAAATGTTCAGAACTAAATTTAAATTTGATTTCTAGTCTTGAATGGTAAAATTATAATACAGAGTTGTGTCATTGTGCTGTGGGAGCTCAAGGGAGGAAAGACAGTTTATCAAGGCAGCTTGAGCAGGTCCAGATCTGTTCTGTATTTCAGAGGGCTAATGGGGTGTCTCCATAGAACAGTGACTTGAGACAGAAATTACAGGTACATTAACTTTCAGTCCTCTGAAAAGCAGATGCCAAGGTGGGATTTAGATGGAAAAGAGTTTGATTTGGAGAAATGCCTGGGAGGGAGGAGTAAAAGGTGGGGACCAGTTATCAGACTATGGTGCTGATGGGGGGCACGGGTCAGACTCCTGGAGTTCCCAGTGTGGCCCCAGCATGCATATTTGCTGAGAGCACTCTCATAATTTTATTTTCTCTTTCTTTTCTTTTGAGACAAGGTCTTACTACATAGCTTTGGCTGTCCTGGAACACATTATGTAAACCAGGCTGGCCTTCAACTTATAGAAATCCACCTGCCTCTGCTTCCCAAATGCTGGTACTAAAGGCAGATGCCACCATACTCCACTGCTGTTGACCTTTCTGAGAGCAGATCAGAGAAGGCTGACTGAGGGCATGATAGTTAGTGCCCTTCAAAATGGTACAGTGTTCTCCTTCCAGAGCAACAGTGTTAGATATTTGTCTTCTGCAAAGCATATGGAAAAGCCAGAGATCCTTGCTTATTTTCCAGGATTCAGCATCCTTCTGGCAGATGCCCCCAAAGAACTGAAAAGGAGAGAAGAGAGATTAAAATCTGGATGAAAAGAAAGCGAAAAGAGAGGATGGCAGAGTACTTAAATCAGCTGGCAGAGAAGAGGGGACAGGAACGTGATCCTTTCTGCCCCAGAAACAGTCCAGTAAGTCTGTAGTACCCCAGGAAAGGAGTTCTCACTGGATATGTACAGGCTTTTCCTGACAGATAGTCAAGAAAAAAATTAATGTAATTTGGGTGCCTTTTTTATTGAGCAAATGTTAATCAGTTACCTGAACAAAATGTGTTAGGATATTGTACAAACTATTTAATGAATTCTATTTAATGAATTTAAATATCTTTTTCTCTATTAGGCTAATTAAGGCTCTGTCATTTTAAATAAACAAGGAGGTTGAAGGGGTGGCTAGTTGGAATTGTTTCTTCATTTTCAGTGAGACTCATTGATAGCTGAACCAGCCATGTGCATATTAAAGACATTTTTAAAACGTAGTTTTGAGGTCTAGAGAAATGGCTTGGTGATTAATGTAGGCACTGCCCTTGCAGAGAACTCAAGTCTGATTGTCAGCACTCACTCACACCAGGCGGATAGATCACAGTTCCCGGAGATAGATCACAGCGCCAGGAGAGAGATCACAGTTCCTGGAGAGAGATCACAGTTCCCAGAGATAGATCACAGTTCCCGGAGATAGATCACAGTTCCCGGAGATAGATCACAGTTCCTGGAGAGAGATCACAGTTCCCGGAGATAGATCACAGCGCCAGGAGAGCCAACACCCACTCTGCACTCCTCGGGCACCTGCACCCCTATGTGCCCAGTCAGACAAACAGATGTACATAATATACACAAAATCAAGTTTAAACAATAGTATTTACTATCTACAAAGAATGTTTTTGAGCCATGGTCCCTAAGTGGTCTAGAACCCTGTATTTAGACCAGGGTGGCCTCAAACTCACAGAGATCCACCTGCCTCTGTCTCCCAAGTGTTGGGACAAAGTGTGTGTGCTTTTAGTATACCCACTACATCCAGCTCTACAAAGACTTTTCTAAAATTAGAAGAGCAGTGGGGTGTGGGGTGGTTCGGCTGCCCTCTGATGGTGTTGGCTTACAGAGCCTAGAGTACTTGATAGTGCTCGTGGCTAGATCCAGGAGAATTTTTTATTTCAAGGATGAATGGGCTCAACCCCTAATACTTCACCAAAACAAATTAGAGCTTCGAAGGTAAAACAAAAGAATCATATCACCATGAAAGCGACATGTAGATTTAGAGTGTAGAGTATAGTCCATTTTGAGTATTAGAGTGTATAGTCTATTCCTTTGTAATTTCACATAAAATATAATATTTTAAAAGAGTCATTATAAAAGCATCATCAGAGTAAATTGTGTAAGTGAATTTTTAAGATAAGGTTGTCTTCTTTAATCTGCATGGTGCAAAAGCGAAACTCTCATCTAAAATTTGTAATTTGGATCAGCAACATGATAAAAGTATTTGCTGACACCTTGGATTTGCTCCCAAGAACCTACATGGTGGACAGAGAGAACTGATTCCCACAGGGTATCTTCTGACCGCCATACACATACCGTGATGTGCACATAGCCACACACAGATACTTACAAATGAATAAACAGTGTGTGCTCTACGTACCTGACTCTGCGTCAAAACCTGCCGCTGTTAATGTAATACTTTCTTTTTTATATTATTGTTTACCTGTGTGACCACTTTGCCTGCATGTATGTCTGTACATCATGTGCATGTCTGGTGCCCACTGAGGAGGCCAGAAGAGGGCTTCGGGTCCTCTAGAACTGGAATTATTGGTGGTAGAAAGCGGCCATGTGGGTGCTGGGAATAACCATTCCTGGATTTTCTGGAAGACCAGCCAATGCTTTTAATCACTGAGCCATCTCCAACCTACTAACACTTTCTTAATGAACTTTGCAGGCACAATTGGAGCTTTCAAGTCTATTGAAGTATATAACCAGAATCTCGATGTATCTAGGGATGTATGTGTGCATGTATGTGTTCTCTCTCCCACGAGGGATGGACTCTAACATCACCTTCACTGTCAGTCAGATATAAAAACCAAACAGGTTTATGTAAATTTCGAGTAAACTAGCTGTGGAGTCATTTTTGGGAGTCATTTTTCTCTTCCATCCTAGAGTCCCTGGAGTCAGACTTGGGTCTTGAGACTTGGCAGGAGGTGCCTGTCCTTGCACTGCCGTCTCGCTGGTCCTAGTGCGTGAAGTTTGAAAACTAGGTTTTTGGAGACAAGGTCTCTCCATTAGTCCCGGCTAACATAAAGTTCATGGTCCTCTTGCCTCAGCCACCTAAGTGCTAATTTCACAGTGTTTCTATCTAAGATGACATTTTACACTAAGAGAGAAAACTTTCTCAAATATGACAGTGTCTTGTGCCTCTGTAAATGCCAGCAGAATGTCTAGTGCTTTAGTTGTTTGGACTGAACAATAATGAACTAACTGGACATTTCCTGTGCAGTTTTATATGACTTCAAGGCAGATCAGGCAAAGACAAAAGATGAAACATGAAAAAGATAGGTAAGTCTGGAAGCTGTACCCTCAACATGCTCTAGCTCGCTTGTGCCTTGGGAATTACTAATAGTTTCCTGTCAGTGGACAGACTGTTATGGGAGATAGCATTTTAAGAAAAGAAAAGCTGCTTAGGAATTTGCTTTCAAATATTACTTGTGCCATTCAATTTTTATGGCTTTTATTTCTGCTGCCCTCCCATACCCAACCTGGATTCATCTGTATGTGTCTGAAATACCTCAAAAGCCAAAGTACAGGCACCTTTATTTTGTTATCATTATCATGTTGGTTCTTTGAGCCAGGATGTCATTGTGTACCTACCTCAAAGTAGCCATCTCCCTGCGTCAGTCTCCCAAATGCAGAGACTGTAAAGTGTGTGGCACAGTAGTGCCCTGCCTCTACAAGGACATAGCCATACACTGTGCTCTCCAGGGATTTTGAGAGTGAGGCAGAAGATTTGGGGTTTTTTGTTTGTTTGTGTTTTGAGACAGGGTTTCTTCGTGTAGTTTTGGTGCCTGTCTTGGATCTCACTCTGTAGACCAGGCTGGCCTGGAACTCACAGAGATCTGCCTGGCTCTGCCTCCTGGGTGCTGGGGTTAAAGATGTGCGCCACCACCACCCGGCCTGAGGCAGAAGGATTTGTAAAGCATGTGCTCCCTCGCGGAATGAACAGGACAGTGACGTTGCGTTCCTGTCCACAGACTGCTGTTGTCCCAACACTACAGCCAGCGGATCTCGCAGGCGTACTCTCTGATGAACGAGCTGCTGTCTGACTCGGCACAGCCAGCAGCACCTGCAGATAAACCCTTCCCTAAAAGATCCCCCTCCGATCAGCATTGCACACAGCAACAAGGCTCTGCTCCGAGGAGGTGAGACAATTGGTCCTGTTACAGAGCATTGAGGTTGGTTTGTTTTCAGACAGCGTCTCCAGTATTCCAGGTTGGCCTTGAACGTGCTGTGTAGTCAGTGATGACCTTGAAGGTCCAATCCTGCAGCCTCTACCTCCTGATGACATCTCAGACTACAGGCATGCACTGTACACCCTGGTTATGCAGTGCTGGGTTAAACCCAGAGCCTTGTGCACGGTAGACACTCGCTCTGCTCTGCCCACATCCCTGGCCCCAAATGTAGCACTTATGTGTCTTCATCTATGCTACCTCGAGTTACAATAAAGTGAAGAAAAAAATAGTGCCATAATTATGCGCTCATGTAAATTTATAGACTAACCAAGGAGAAGGCAAAAATTGTGTTAAATTTCTAAATAAGATACAACAAAGCATTTTGGAATATATGAAATAGGGTGTTTGGTATCTTTTCAGCCTTCTCTTCTCCTTTAGTTCTATGAAGAATTGCTTCTTGAATTTGGCTTTAATTCCTCTCCTCCCCCCCATCTGCCATTTCCATTCAGGCAGGAGCAGCCGGCCCTCCCTCACCATCTGCACATCTCTCTGTTACCCGCCCATCCAGCTGCAGCTACTGCAGAGCTCTCCATAAATGACCCGCCTGCAGTGGTGTAGATAGGATTCCAATAGGTGAAGTTTATTAAGTAGAGCATGCTGCTAATGCCCCAGGTGTAAGTTTTCTTACAGGTGGCCAACAAACATACAGATATGTTAGTGATTCATATAGTTTTTATTCAGACTGTCAAAGGCACCCAGGAATTTTCTTCAATAAAATAGAAGATTAAATACATAAAGAAGCTGTTACGTATATAGAGAATTTGAAGTGGGTAGATATTACTAAAATTTTCCTTGTCAAAATTCAAATTTTTCAAAGTATAATGTGTTTTATGTCTAAGGTAACACTGTGGCATGGCATAAGCAGTGTTGAGTTATTATTTGGAGGTTTTAAAATAAAGTTTTTAATTATCATGTGATTTCTACTTTAGAGAGAATCCACATGGGCAGACTTTCCTAATAAATCGGCCTGGACGAGGCAGGCGTATTTCCAGACCAAGTCATCTACAAAAGGAGAAACCCTTGGGGCAGCCCCAAGGCGCATCTCGGCAGCAAGGTAAGACTTGAAGCTCCCTCGTCTTTTGTGATTTGACTGTGTTCTTGGAGTTTTTTTGTGATTTGACTGTGTTCTTGGAATCTCCAAAGTTATTTTATTAGTAAAAAGAAACTCCAGTTCCAACAGAGCATGGTATTGAGAAACCCTTGGCTACCCCAGGCTTTTGGTCTATTGCTCTGAAATGGCAGTTTTGCTTTTCTGTCCTGAGTGCTAAGACTCCTAGCCTGAGCCACCGCTCCTGCCTTGTGGCTCCCTGGTGTCCGAGGAGGAAGCCTTGGAGTCCATGGACCTGCTGTCCTTGTATGTTTGTCCCATTGTAAGCCTTCACTGCTGTCCCCCCTGGTGTGGGTGGTCTGTTTCACCTGGCTCCTGCAGTAGCTTACACATCCATCTGAGACTCCAGACCCCCTCAGCAGCCCCAGACCACCTTCCTCAGCTTCCTGGCTTTTCTAACAGCTGGTTTCCCATCCATAGAACAGGCTTTTGTACTCTGCCCCTTACACCTCGAGTGTCTTTGAAGACATCCTTATCTTTTAAGATTGGGTCTTGCTGTATAGATCAGAGTGGCCTTCAATTCAGCCTTCTGCATCAGCCTTCTAAATAGCATTATAGATGGGTGCCACTGCATGTGGCTTAGGCAGCCCTAATCTTAATCCTTTAGTATTCCAAGTGGTATGTTCAGTTTTAGATCTATATCCTCCTTGTGGATGGAAGTTACCACTTGCACAGTTGCTGGGAAGAGGCTGTAGTTAGTCAGTGTGGACCACGAGGAGCCCACAGCTAACTCTTGGCTGTCCCAGCCCTTTCTCCCTCATCTTTGTATCGCCCCTTCATGGGACAAAGACAGTGCTTGAATAACTAGCGAAGGATGCTCAACGTGGCTGTTGGACTTTTTTATTTTGCCTAAAAATATATAAACAGATTTTTTACTTTTAACAATATTAACAGAAAGTATTGTAGCGTGCACGCACACACACACACACCAACCCTGTCAGATACTACTACCAAATGCCAGGCCATTGACTTTGCTTCAAACAGTCTAGGTTTTAGAATCCTCTAACTCTGCTACCTATTTTAGGCCTTCAGGTCTATTATTAAAAACCTAACTCTCATACCTTGTTTGGAGGCATACACTCAGAGTCCCAGCACTTGGAGATAAACTCTGGATCCTTTCAAGTTTCTAAGGCCATCCTTGATTATACAGTGTGCTTCAGGCCAGGCTGGACTACTTGAGACCCTATCTCAAACATATAAATAAAGCCACAGTAAAGCTCTCCTGGTGACGCATACATGGAAGTCCTACCTACTTGGGAGGTTAAGGCAAGAGGATCACTTGAGCCCACAAGTTCATGACCAGCCTAGGCAACATACTGAGAGCCTGTCTTTCAATAAATAGACAGGTCAATTATTTTAAAATTATTTTTAAAACCATCTGCTGGCAAGATGACTCAGCAGGTAAAAATGGCTCCTGCCAAGCCTAGTGACTTAAGTTCAATCCCTGGAACCTGTGTAAATGAGGAAGAAGAGAACCAATCCTGCAAGTTGTCCTATGTGATGATATTATGTTCCCCAATATATTGTGCACCCTAATAAACTTATCTGGAGTCAGAGAACAGAACAGCCACTAGATATAGAGGCCAGAAAATGGTGGCACACACACCTTTAATCCTATCACTTGGGAGGCAGAGATCCATCCGGATCTCTGTGAGTTCAAGGCCACACTGGAAACCACCAGGCATGGTGACACACACCTTTAATCTCAGGAAGTGATGGCAGAAAGCAGAAAGGTATATAAGGTGCAAGGACCAGGAACTAGGCCTTTTAAGCTTTTAATACTTTTAGCAGCAGTTTGTCTGAGATCCAATCACATGAGGACTCAGAGGCTTCTAGTCTGAGGAAACAAGATCAGCTGAGGAATTGATGAGCTGAGGTTGGATGTGGCTTGTTCTACTTCTCTGATTTTCCAGTGTTCACCCAAATACCTGGCTCCAGGTTTGTCTTTATTAGTAAGACCTGTTAAGATTCGTGCCACAGTCCTATGATGTGCTATGGCAGGAGCTCATCCACACACGTAAACACACACACATATCATAACATGGCTGAGGAGTTTAAGTACAGCATAAAGCAAACGGCAGTTATTAATTTTTGAGCTTACAAAACTCTCATCCTTGCCTTGATAAAATTTAACTTGCTGTTTTAGCTAGGACTTTACCAGGCTTCTAGATCCCTGGCTCTCCAGCTGCTAAGGGTGTTGTCCTCTAAGGAAGGACACCAAGTTTAAAAAGTAGTTTTCCTTCTTCCTTTAAAGGCCTGCTTTCTTGGTTCTGTTAGGATCCTGGAGAAGTCCCACAAAAGACCACCATCCATGTATGCAATCAACAAGAGCATTTATTATTCCAGCATGTTGGGGCCTGACATCCTACACAAAGGCAAGATGGCAAAGACCCCAAGAGGGACCTGTGAGCTTCTTTTAAGCATAGCCAAGAGGAGATACTAGAGCAGTTAGGTTATTTTAGACATGATTGGCTTAAGCAAGTGGCAATCATATTAGTATGTTCTAATTGGCCAGGGCTAGTCAGGGACTGGTCAGGGTACAGTTTTCCATTTTGGAGCAGGCCTGGACAAGTCCAAGGCTTTGTTCTTAAGCTGCTTGGAGTGGGGTGGGGGGGCTGGCTGGCCTAGTACGCACTGACTGGGGCACTGGCTCACTCAGTGGCCCAGGCTTGGTGCTTCCTACCTCCCTTGTCCCTGTGGTCAGGGGCATCAGGGATTGATTGTCCTTTGTTTTGGGCTCTCACAGAAACTGTTTACTCAGTTTCAGGAAACTGAAATGGAGGCCTGATCTCTGAGAGAAGACTGAGCAGCCTGTCATGTGTCTGCTTGGTCCTCTCAGCTCAAAGCAGCTGCCAATTATTGGGTGATTCTAGAGCTTATCAGGCTGACTGCACTTGTGAGGATGTAAGCAGGCAGCCCGACCTAGGCACATTTTATTAGGGTGCAACAGAATATCGCCACATTGGTGTGTCTGCTAAAGTAAACGGCTCCTGATTGGCACAAATGACAGAGGTTTTTCAGGGGTTTGGAGGTGATGGTGCAGTTGAGGTTCATCATGCTAGATTGCACACATTGTTTGGCAGTCTGTGTCGTAGGCTGAGAATCACCTACTATCCTTAAAGTACAGAAGACTCCCAACTCGATATGTAGGTGAGATTTCTTTTTTTAATTTTTATTTTATTATTTTATGTGTATGGGTGTTTTGCCTGCATGTATGTCTATGTACCATGTGAGGTCAGAAGAGGGCATTGTATCTCTTGTGTCCTTTGGAAGAGCAGCAAGTGATCTTATTGAGCTGTAACACAAAATCCAATAGGTCTTATAATAAAAACCCGAAGCCAGATATTGGGGTAAATGCTGAAAGATCAGAGAGACAAAGGAACAAGCCACAGCCACTTCTCACCTCCCCAACTCCAAGAATCCTCTGACTGAATGTCTCTGAGTCCTCAGCTGAAAAAGCTTCAGCCTAAAAGCCTCCAGCTGAAGAGGCCTGTCTCCTCAGCCTTATATATCTTTCTCTGCCCAGCCATATTGCTTCCTTCCTAGCGCTGGGATTAAAGGTGTGTTCCCCCACTGCCTGGCTCTGTTTCTTTCCTAGATTGAATCAATCTCATGCAATTCAGGGTGTCTTTGAACTCACAGAGATCCAGAGGATCTCTGCCTCCTGAGTGCTAGGATTAAAGGTGTGTGCCACCACTGTCTGACCTCTATGTTTAATCTAGTGGCTGGCTCTGTCGTCTGATCCTCAGGCAAGCTTTATTTGATACAAAATCTATCACTACACTGAGCCATCTCTGTAGCCCCATGGTGGGGACTTGCTGTGGTCACTTGCCCTTCACACTCATTGACACACAGAGTGTCAGGATGGAAAGAGATCCTCCAAGCAGGTGGTAACCATAGGACGGAAAGTGCTGGGTTTCTGTCAGATAAAATAGACTTCAAGCCAGAAATTGTGTATGAAACCAAGGTGGTCATCACTGAGTGATAATGGGCTCAGCTCGTCGGGACGGCAGAGCACGTGTAAGTACCTGTGTTGTTGAGCCGAATACAAAAAGCAAACACTCCGGGCCACAGAGGGAGAAAGGGAGAAGCAGTGCCCAGACAAAGTGACGGCACTCTGAGGAGTTCTTAGGTTTGTCGTTGTGCTGCTGTGTTTTGTGTCTGTGTGTGGTGCTGGGGATTCGACATGGGGCTTCACAGTGCTACAGCAGCTCTCTACCCACGTCTCCAGGCCTCAGCAAGTATTTTTACTTGTAAAAGTAAAAGTAAACAATTTTTTTGGAAAATTAAAGTATGTGGAAATTAAACAGTATGTTCTTCAACAATTAGTAGATCAAAGAGATCAAAAGGAAAATTAAGCACTTTTGAGGAAAGGGGCGATGGAAAAACAATACACCAAGACTGATAGGGCTATCAGTGAAATACCTAACCCTAAAAATACAAATTGATCACAAAGGGAAGAAATATCACAGAAATTTGAAAAAAATAAACAGAATTAACAAACCCTTAGCCAGGCTCGTGGAAAAGACTCAAATGTTTAAGATTAGGAAGGAAGGTGAGGAAATTTTGACACCTCTAAAATAAAGGGGGTCTCGGGGGAATGTTAGGACAGTTACATGCCAACAAATTTGATGATCGAGACAAATTGGAGAAACCTACCAAGTTGAATCAATGAGAAACATGTGCAGGCTGCACCAGAGTCAGCATTAAGGAAGACCTGTCGGTCTTGCCATTTGCTATATTGTGTCTGCACTGGAGTACATTGTGCTAAGGAAAAGCAAACACAGAACAAAAATGATCACAGGATCTCCTTTACGCGTGGGTTCTCAGTCATCTGAGGAAAGAACAGGAAATGTGGACTATAAGACAGAGGACACAAAGTAGCAAATGACAGATACCCCCAAAGAGTTGATATACAGCCCTAGGGCCATTAATAGTATATTGTGTTCAGGAGTTTTGCTGAATGGGTAATAAAGAATGGGCAACTGTCACCTGGTAAAAATGTTAATTACACCATAGTAACTATTTTACCGTGTGTGTATGTCCAGAATCAATGTAAAATTTATCATAAAAAAATTAAAGCTTTGTCTACACTGGAGGTAGGAAAACCCTACTTTGAAAATTTTTAGAGTTATACAGAAATGCATGTTGTACTTTATCTCAACATTTGCTGCCTTTCTCTCAATCAATCTGTTAAATATAGGAATTTTTTCTGTCTGAGGGGTATTAAAAAAGAAAGGAAAGGCTGGGTAGTGGTGGCACACACCTTTAATCCCAGCACTCGTGAGGCAAAGATAGGCAGATCTCTGTGAGTTCGAGTCCAGCCTGGTCTACAGAGTGAGATCCAGGACAGGCACCAAAACTACAGAGAAACCCTGTCTCGAAAAACCAAACAAACAAACAAACAAAAGGAAGGAAACACATAATTTCTGATGGTAATTTTCCCTTTTACTTCATCTTAGAAAGTCGTCTCTGAAAATCTGTCTCCACACTCCTACATATCTCTTTCTCTGTCTCCACACAGCTACATCTCTTTCCACACAGCTCTGTCTACAGCACACATCTCTCCTCAGCAGCTACATCTCTTTTCTACATCATTCACCTCACTACTCACTGAACAAACTCTGGACAAGACATGAATTACACTTTGAGGGTCACATAACATTTTTTCAGTAAACATTTCTTGAAGTACATAGGCTGAGCACCCATCATTTTCCAGTGGAGAGTGACATTGAAATTCAGGAACTAAACAATAAACAGTTAGTTGGCTAAACCTTGAGTGGTTAGGAGTTTGTGCAGAAAGTCAGTTGTTACAGGGAGTAATGTCTACTGAAGTTGCTTCATTCCTGACCTTGGTTAAACAGACAGACACCTGGGAATCTGTCCTTGTGCATTCGTTAGCAGAGGTAACTAGTCTGCTTTGAATTTGCTCTGAGGTCTAAAATCAACTAATTGTGTAAAAAACTTCTCTTTGTAACTGAGAATATTGTTATTTTCCTATGTCAATCTGAGCTAGGAAAAATATCCCAATATTTCTGTTCCTCAAAATTGTCCAGTTAAAGAAGAAATCATCTTTCTGATCATCCACAGATACATGTGCCCCAAAAGTACAAAATACACCACCAATGGGCTGTGGAAAGAACCCTACAGCTGTTCTTTTTATGGAGGAATTGTGGCACATGAGAATAATTACAGACAGAAGCAACCAGTATCCATACTAGCCAGTAACTCCATTGTCTTTGCCTACTGGGGATCCCTATCAAAGAGTTATTCACCTGGTAGGTCAATACCTGAATTATTAGTTGCCATCTGTTGTATTTATGTCATGGCCTATGACAGTAGGCCAAATAAGTCCAAGAGAAAGTCATCCAAAGAGAAGGAAACTATAGGGTCATCAGGGTCAAAGACAGCTGCTGTCTCAAGTCAGTAGAGACACCATTTATATCATCTTTCTAGATGTCTGTAATTATGTTTATTTCATCAAACAAGACATTTTATGTCTGAATAAGAGTTAGTTGTAGCAGAGGTGGACATGGGATTGGTTGATGTTTACAGTAGCCTGTGCTGAGCTCTGAATGTATCCTGAGCACTTGAAGGAATGGCTTGGCCTCCCACCTTCCTTTGTTTCTATCTTGGAAGCAACCTTATGGTTGTGATGTTGACTCTTGACTCAGTGCCTGCCTTCCTTCCTTTCTTTTTTCTTCTGTTGTTTTGAGACAGGGTCTCCTCACTAGGCATTCTTGCTCTAGAGATGAAATCATCATTACTTTCAAATCAAAATTGGTGTCCATGTCATATATTGTTACAAGTCTGCCGGGAGCCATATCCAGACCTTATGGATTGAATATTAGGTAACAGATGCCTGCCTTGGCCTTAACAGTAAGGTCACAGTTACTGCATGAAGACATGAATGAATTGATCAGTTCCTGTGTGTGTTTCATTTTCCCTTTAAAGGTTCTAATACTCCGTGTCAGAGTCTAAAGCATACGAAAAGCCATGGGGCTGTTGGGGCGGCTCCTCCAGTGAAGCAGGTGTGCACAGAGTATGAGAGAGAAGAGATGGTGGTGAGTCCCTGGACTCTGCCCTCAGAAATCCACAGGATTCTTCACGACAGGCCCAGAGCCCTTCTACAGGTGAGTGCTGCCCAGAGTTCTGCAGTGTTCCTTCCTTTTCCTAAGATTTGAAGAGAATGATTACTTTGGCCATTTTGAAATTGTCTCATTTTTCTTTCTTTGTGTGTATGTTTTGTTTGAAATGGGATCTCCTGTAGCTTCTATTGGTTTGAGTTTTGTTTTGTTTTTTCATTTTCTTTGAACCCAGTGATAAATTTGCAACATTTTTTAGTGCCTTTCCCCTCTCTAAAGTAAGTATCTTGGTCCCTCTGTTGCTTTCTTCTCTGGATCTTCTGTATATCAGTTACCTCTGATTTCATCACCATTTCAGGGAGTCATTTAATTTTTCTCCTATGTTGGATATCTCCTTTTGTGTCTTCATTGTGTGTGTGTGTGTGTGTGTGTGTGTGTGTGTGTGTGTGTGCATATGTAGTGTACATGCACAGGCCACTACCCCATTCCCTTGAGACAGTTTCTCTGCTGTACTGGCAGGCTACAAGTCCCCTTGATCATCCTTTCTCTGCTAGGGTTAAAAGTCCAGGCTTGGTTCAAACTTGATGTAAAGTTGAAGCTGTCCTTGAACTCCTGATCCTCCACTTCTGGAGTGCTAGAATTGTAGGCATGTCCCCTTTGCCCAGCTTCTAGGGTTGCAAACTCTGTCCTCCCATTTAGCTATCAGAATTCTTTTCTTTGTAAATAAGAAACAGTGTAAAAGAACAAACTGCTGTATTGCAGGTATCAGAACCCACCTTGACTGTCGGTCAGATCCGAAGCCCACATCTGTGTCAGCGCCTTGTCAGTGCAGACCTGCTGGACTTCCCCTCCCCCCTCTGATTCCTACATCCCTTTACCTCTTTAGTGGGTCAAAACTGTCTTTCCATTTCCCCAGGACATGTCATCACCTGAAGAGGAAGAACCTGAGCCCTCTTTCGTGGTGGCTGGCATGGACAGCGTGTCTGAGAGCACTGGCAGCATCCTCAGCAAACTTGACTGGAGAGCCATTGAAGACATGGTGGCCGGCGTGGAGGAGAAGAACCCATCTGTCCGCTGGGCCTCAGACCTGTAGGGCCTGGAGAGCACTCTCTTTCCAGGCCCTGGCCAGCATCTCACTGAGAACTTTGTGGATCTAAGGCTAGAAATAATGGGACTTTATAACCTGCAGCCCCAGGGTTCCCTGGGTTAACTATTCCAGGAGGGAAAATAAACATGTCAGTAATATTGCCTTTATGGGGAGAGGTGGTTTAACTAGAGAAAAGCATTATGTTTCATGTGATTTAGGTATCATTTCAACAATATACACATGTCAAGCCAGGTTTTCACAATATTTAAATTAATTTGAATAAAAAAAAATCTTGTATCTGCTTCTTCCTTTACTACCCTCTGTTTCCAGAACTGCAAATGTGGCAGACTTGACGGGAACCTCCTGTCATTGGAGGAAAATCACTCTCTGCTTTAAAGCTCGGTCTTAACCTATATATAGTTCACCCGAGCAGGCCACTCCATACGGACCTTTGTCTTGTGTTCTGTGGCTTGAC